GTACTTCCCATCAGCCCCCACCCCACTACCAAATCCACTCAGCACCTCTAGAGGCTGATAATACATGTAATGATTGTAATAAACATGGTGTTTGCTTTGGTCCAGCTGGCTCCAGCCAGACTCGCTAGTAGTTACCATTACTTGCTGGAAAACTGCAGTGTTACCTTTGGTAGCAACTTTGTCACAGATTTCTCAGCATTGATTCTTACACATTGAGCTCATTGCCTCCCATGACAGTGTGTTCAGATTAAGACTCAGCATTGTACATTGGCTTTTAAGGATATTTAGAACTATTGACTGCAGAGAACTAAAATTTAACGATATGTTTGGGAATTGTCTTTATTTCATGTAGTAAAATCAAGAAACATTTTTATTGGTACATTTCACTCTTTATAAAACTTTTGAATTAGTAATTAATGCCTTTCTGCTTGTACAGACTTAAACTGGTTGTACATTGGGTAGTTTTCCATCAGAATTTTCCACAGACAGAAATAAAATAATTCCTAAGAAAAACAAATTTGTATTTGCTGACAGAAAAATGTGTTAACTTCATTTTCAAAGACTTAAACTAGATTTGTTGGCAATAAAATATTTCAAATCATGCAGAATTTCAGGGTTTAAAATCATAGCAACTTAATGTGAAAATAGAAGGATTCTGAGTTAGACAGTATAGAATAGTCATATAAAATAAGATGCTAATGCTAGAGAGAGAGAGAGAGAGAGAGAGAGAGAGAGAATACTACATAAATCAGAGGATAACTTTTTAGAAAATGCTACCTTATTATAAAAAAGATGTTTTGCTACATTTAAATGTAGATGCTGAGACTGTTGGGACTATTAGTCTGTTTGAGAATTAAGTAGAAGGGTTAATCTTAAAAACTCAATTTCTCTTCCAAATAAATGCCTCTTTAGATAAATACGTTTAAGTAAGGTGTGAGCGTAATCTAATTCCTCTAACTTGTGCTTGGTGATAATTTGTACAGAGACTAAGCAAACCTTTGCTTGAGGGAAGCTGGAGAGTTTGAACTCTTTCCAGTTGAGTCTACCTCTTACGCCATACAGAGTGCCGTCATGGTCCGTGCTGGGAAGGCACAGCAATCTTTCTCTCAAGTCATGGTGCAAGGAAATAATTTTACACCAATGGCCACTGCATTTCTACAGTTCACAGACTTACCTAAAAAAAAAAATACCTCACAATTAAATGTTTGAAAATAAATTCAAAATCATGTCCACTAGTGGTTTAATTTCAGCCTGCCTTTACCTGTTGGTTCGTGGGTGTTTGGAAGTAAAAGTTCTCCGTGAGATTTCCAGGAGGATGCAGATCATCAGATAACCTCTACCCGGAATCCCAGCCCTTCTCAGTTGCATGTTTGGGGCCAGGCTACTCAATCATCTGGAATTCCCAGTTCTGAGCTCTGAAGGACAGCTCGCTCACTAAGCACACTGCCTCCCACTCAGAGCTCTGTGCGCATTCTCGTCTGTGTGTGGCTCCCCAGGCCCTGTGACAGACACCCACTCAAGCTTGATGCCCCTGCCATACAGACACTTTCTAGGCACACTATGTCCACACCTATATATAAATAACATTTTAACAAAAACCAGAACCTGTTGCAACAGAACTCAGAATTAGTCTCTCAACACTGTTCGTGGGTATCTTTTCTGTGTGAGCAGGATTACAAGATGAAAACAATCCCATTCTTTTTTGAGAGATAAATAATGCTCTTCTAGCAGTCATTACTCTGGCATAAACATCCTTAGGAATGACTGTTTGTTAGTAATATAAATATTTTTGAGAATGCTGGATCGAGAACGTGTACTATTCATTTTATAAATGTTGACTTACTATCTTTTCAAAGAGTTGTGACAGTTTGCAGTTTAAAGTTTCAATATATTGTTCTGCTAATTTCTCCAAATCACCCCCATCCAACCCCAGTACAATTTTCTTGAGCTATCTCATTTCTCTCCCCTGCCCTCCACTCTCCTCCCTTCCCCTCCCCTCCCCTCCCCTCCCCTCCTTTTCTCTCTCTCTCACACACACACACCACACACACACACAACACACACACACACACCACACACACACCACACACACACCACACACACACACCACACACACACCACACACACACACACACACCACACACACACACTCCCCCCCATCTTTGGCGGTTTGTATATCTTATAAATTGACTTTGCTTGCTGCTTTTCAGCTGTATTATTTTCTTTTTGATTAATAAAAGCCCCTTAAGCAGTATGATGCTAAATCCTAACCAGCTCCCTTGTGGGTATGTCAAACCCTATAAATCCGTCTCTTTCTGGACTTAATTTGGTGTTTTTGTCTTTGTCACCTTCTGGTTTATTTCTTTGGGCCAAGAGTTGGTTTTCTCCCCAACATCATTGTGTTTTTTTATTTGTCATATTAATATTACCTTTATCATGCGGCGTTTCCACATTGTTGTGATTTGTCATGCACTTGTTTAGGTTTTATGTTCTTCAACAGCAATATGTATTATTTTTCATTGCACAGCCTTTATATTTTTAATTTCTGTTTTACCTTATTTTATTGCTGAACAAATGTGTTGTTTTCTTTACATTTTACAACTGAATTAAGTAGGACTTGTATATTAGTCTATGTGTATCATCTGAATTCTCATTTCTTTACTAATATTGTATCACTGTAGATAAAATTTGCCTAAACTGTAAGGCCAAATGTGTATAAAATATAAAGGTTTAAAAAGTTTAGGGGGAGAGACTAGAGGAGGCAGTGACAAAGCTCAGACCTCCTTTAGAATTGGACAATTATGAAAAAGTGCAAGCACTTACAGACGTACAATCTTATTGGTAAAGGTTGTACTTAATGCAGAATGCTCTTCATGGCCCACAGAACAACAGCAGCGAGCAGGTGTGGTCATAAAGAAAACAAAATTAAAGCCAACGAAATAGGAATTGGACAAGTTACAGTTTCTGGTAATAAATAAAGTAACTCAGCCATTAAAATAATATGACTAGACTCTTGGCAGACCTGACAGATATCAAGACAGAAAATACAAGGCACACACACAAAATAGTTCAACTAACAAGCAATGAAGGTAAGGAAAGTGAGAAATACTGTGTGCAGATTTAAGACAATACAGCTTAAAATTAGAAGGGAGAGTTTATAGAGAAATCTTTGATCCTAATCAAACCAACTCATGAAGACCCATTCACCAAGAGGAAATTTACACAATTGCAAAGACACAGAGCTCTGTTGGAAGCAGCAGTGAATGTAGGGTGCTGCTGGCATGAGACTGGGCCCTGTGGGACAAACAGAACTCTCACACATGGAGAGGGGGAGAGGAAAAGCTTCGGAGATGAGAAAGCAGCAAGAACAAGTGTGTGACAGCAAGAGTTATAGGCTGTTAGATAGACTTTGGTGTTCAAACCCCACTCAGCATTTCCTTGATGTTAAAATAAGAGCCCTCCATCGGTGAGGTAGCAGAATGTCTGGACACCTTCGTTTCTCTCAAAGTTCTACAGATGGCCCCATTTACTGTCGGGGTTGAAAACAATGAAGCAGTCTAGCATTTGACTAGAGTATCAAGGATGTCAAGGCACCATGAAGATGCCAGAAAGAAACATATTAAAGCCAGGTGACAACCAAGACAGTTGGTCTTCCTTCAGTTTGTATTTTGTTTTTATTGCTATTATATTACCATAATTCTTCCAAGTTTTTGTTATTATTTTAAGATAGGGTCTCAACTGTGTAGCCTAGGCTGGTTTTAAAACTCATCATGATTCCCCCTGCTTCAGCCTCCCAGGTGCGCCGCCCTGTCTGTCATACAGTCTTCTCCATTAGCTATCAGCCAAGTGGGTGAATTTGAGGCAAAGCTTATGGGATGAAGAGGTGAGAGAACTGTAAGTGTTGCTGAATACTCACCCCAAGAGTTAAAGCAGCACCGTTTTGTTATTGCTCATAGTCTTGTAAGCTGACTGGACTCACCTCAGTAGTCTTTAGTCATCTGGGGGACAAACTGGTCTCAGTTGTCCAATATGGATGGCTCACATAGTTCTCAGCTGAGAGCCTAGCAGGCACTGATTGTCAAAGCATCTCTGTGAACTTCTCACAGAATCACTGCTGGGTCCTGAGAGGAAGCGTCTCAAGAGCAAACCCTCGAAAGAGCCCAGGCTGCAAACTACGTTATGAACTAGACTTGATAGCTTCAGACAGCACTGCCATGTTCTGTGGGTCAAGCAACTCACATTCATTGAAAGCTGAGTAAGCTCTATCCCGTGCGGAGAACAATGTATACATACAAGGAGAGAAGGAAATCGATGGGAGACATTTTTAGCGACTTGCAAACACCAAGATCAAAGCCCATGAAGCCAGTATATCAGGCAATCTATATAGTAACACAGACAAAACAATGAGGATAAGGGGATCTGAATTAGGTAAAATGTGTATTAAAGTATGTGAAAGATATTGATGGAGTATCTAACAATAAAGAGGACACCCTCATCTTAGATATCTGTCGCTTGCTGAAAGGGCAGTAGGGAAGCTTGTTTGGATTCCCCACAGTGTTGTAATAAGACCGGTTTTGACTTGGCCTGGGATGCTCTGTGCACTTCAGGGTCATCCTCCAGCAACCACTGGAGTCTCTTCGTTTTCTAACAACAGTGACTTGGGAATTGAGCCGTTGTTGTTTTTCGTGTGTTGTTTTGAAGTCTCAAGTGGGGGAGTTTTGTGATAAGAGTTTTGGCTTTGTTTTATTTTTTACTTACTTTCTGAAACTTGTGTTATTTGCCATTCCTCGTCCCATTGAAGACAGCCTGAAATGGGAGCCCAGGGTGTGCGGGGTGATGCAATTTCCTGGCCTGTGAGCACGTCCTATGCACTTTGTGTCTTTGTCATGCTGTTACCATGATGTATAGTGACTTGAATCTTGTCCGTGAGCCTCGCAAGATTGGCATGGAGTTTGACAGCTGGCTCCCTCACTCATGCTCAGACCCCTTCGCTCTTACAGGTTGTTACGCTGTGGTACCGCGCCCCAGAAGTCTTGCTCCAGGCCAGCTACGCTACGCCCGTGGATCTCTGGAGTGTCGGCTGCATATTTGCAGAGATGTTTCGCAGAAAGTAAGAACTCCATTTCTTCTTTGAACTGTCAGTCTTTACAGTGGCAGCATGGCGTTTCTGTCTCAGCGAGATCACGATTATTCCCACCAATGGGGATCTAATGCTCAGACAGGATTTTTGTGTGTTCTGTGTCCTAAGTGTTCACCACACGTTGGAGATGTTTTCAGCCCTGGTGAGAGAGCTATGTGATGCCCGGGGCCACCCCGCATGTGAAAGTAGTAGTTCACCTGATTTTTAGGTCACAGAAAATAGGCAAACAGTACAGTAAAGTTCTCTCAGAGAGCTAACCCTGATCTGTCCCTTTCTATTTTTGTTTTCCTACCAGGAGGTGAGTGAGGAAGTTGAAGTGTATTCCCACTGAGCATGTTCAGAATGTAGCTCTGCGTAGCTTCTTTTCTGAGGAAAGACGTGGTCAGCCATTGTGGCTTGCTCTTTCTGATAGCCAGGGGAAGTGTGTGCGGTGAGCTTTGCGAAGCTTCTAGACCCCAGCAGAGTTCACTGTCATTCACGGGACGAGCGGATTGTGGCAAAGACACACTCATGCTGGCCTGCTGCGTGCTGAGGACATAGCCAGAGTTTCTCCATAGTGTTTCCTTTTACTAATCCTTTATGTAAGAAGAAACTATGAATGTATGACAGCTAAGAAGTAGCAAAGATGTGGATTGAAAGGAAGCCTAGTAAATTCTAATCTAGTAATGTTTAAAACAGAGGGGCAGGAAAAATAAAAATTAGCCATCAACGAAACTGCTGTGACAACCCTCACCAGCGCTGGGATTGCATGTTCATCTATCGTGCCTGGCTTTTTATATTGGCACTGGAGGTGCCCGTGCTGCTAGGCAGGCACTTTACCAGCTAGGCTGTCTTCACCCTTCAGTATATTGTTTTGGGAAGGGTGGTCCCTGCCGCACTTCATCATTACTTGGGCTTTTCTTAGAAATGGGGATTCTTAGGATCCATCCTACATCTACGGAGTTGGGATTCTGGGGCTAGGTTCTACCTCTCTGTGTTTTGGCAAGCCCTGCACTTGATCCTAATAAGAACCAGGCTAAGAACCACGAGATCAGATGATGGTGTTGCCAGAAATAGGCAGTACTTGAAAATGTGTGTCTCCAGCACTCCCTTGAGGCTCTGATTCATTACTGAGTTGGGCCAGGAATCCTGTTTTTGAAATGTGCCCAGATGATTCTTTAAACCCACGAGAGTGGAGCATTTTAGGTTAAAAGCCAGAGATGGGATTAAGACCCAGAAGTAGAGGATGGTGAGAGTTAGGACAGGTGCCCCAGGCTATCTGGGGGATAACTTAATACTAAAGAGTCTATTTTAAAAAATGCCGATTGGAATTGTATTTATGAGTCTAGAATTTTCCTCAAACGTAAAAGCGGGGTTCCTGTTTTGGGGGTGGAGAGGTCAGTTGTTTTTCCACAATTAGCCATGACTGATTATTTTAAAAATCTGTTTATGAAGATGCTAAAAAAAAAAAGATAAAGCTTAAGATAATAGAATTGAGCATTTACTAGTAAGATATTGGCTACATTTTTAAGTCTTGAGTGTTACCCACCTTAGGAACAGTTCAGCCCCAAGTTGAACATATTTCCACCTAAGTCATTAGTGTGAATTGATAATTAGGTTCTCAGCCTAGCTTGAGGGCTCTTGAATAATTCGGAACATACATGAAACAGTATATTGCTAATTCATCAAATACCTTTTTCCTAGGGGAAATTTTCCTTCTGTATTCCAATCCAGCATGACAAGAACAGCAGTCTTCCCACCTCAGAATTAGGACTGAGAAAGGAGGCTCAAGAAAAAGCTTACTGGTGCTAGTGCCAATCTTCTACACTTTACTGGGAGAGTAAGAGACTGGGTAGAGACCCATTGGCTCCTCCGAGTATGGGCATGGGAAGTTCCCTTTCTCCTAACGGCACACATAAAGGTTGAGGGAGAAATAAGGGATTGAAGGAGGAAACAGTAGCAGAAACTGGGTCGGGTCCTAAAGATAAGCAGAGCAGATCTAGACCAAACAGCTAACCTTCCTAGGATCCCTTGCTTGGTTGGCCTTGCACATGGATGTAGGCTTTGATCTTTGTTTCTGCTCAGTTCACATTGCTATCCGTGTAATTTTACCCAGATGTCTGGGCATGGCCCAGTACTCTAGCATCAGCAGGATCCTGCTGGACTCCTGATGCTGTTGTACATCCTGTTGAGAACTCAAGCCCAGGATCCCGAAAGCATACTCATTGATTACTGTAGGGTCATTTAAGTTAGGGAATATTGATACCTGTCCATTTTGTGTTCCTACTTGTTGCAGAGGCAGTAATTTCTACATCATATTATCTTTATTACCTCCATTGTTTTTTGCTATATCCTTATGGACGTTTTACTCCCATTTACTTAGCTTTTTTACTACCCTAAACCAGCTTACTTTTTTATTTAGCCTCACCATAAACAAAAATATATAAAGCTATAGCTTTGGTAAATTGGTCATTTGTCTGATAGACATTAGAATTTATATAAATACCAAGATCATTAGAAAGCAGTCCACGTCTACCCTCTCTAAAATGACCTCACATGTCACCAGCTGAGAGTGCTCAGTTTCAGAACCCTGTAATACAACTCCTCCACGATGAAGAGATGACCGTCATAAGTCCTAGTGAAGGGTGTGTGATGGTGGCGCATCGATAAGCAGAGCTGGCTTAGGAAGGATGGGGTGTTGTGGGAAGAATTCTCAGTGAAAGTTTGAAAGTCACATCCTATTTATTTATATATATCTTTGAGGAATAATCGTTCTTGCATAGCAAAACTTGCCATCCTTTATAACCTGGGGAGAAGAAAATAAACCAAGGGAATTAGTTAAACACCCATGTTCTGACAGGCCCATGCTCAGGACCTTCACATACATTATCTCACCAGGCCCCGTTCCGAGGCTCAGTACCCAGAGGGTAGAGATGTGGACTCTTTCCAAGTAGAGTGAATACCTTACTCAGGAACACCAGCTATTACATGGCAGAGCCAGGTCAGAATCAAAGCCTGCCTGACACTGTAGCATTGATTTTTCTGCTCTGTCATGTTTTTGCTCCTGACATTACTAAACATATAAAGCCTGTATTTTTTTTTCTAGAGTATTTTATCTATTACTAAAAGAGAACAGCAATGATATTTTTGAGGTGAAAAATCAGATCACACAGTCAATGACCTCGATTTCTGGTCTCCTTAACGCTGGAAAGATTGATTGATTAACATTATCAAGAGATGCATGCTTTCTATTCTAAAATTGATACCTAGAAAATACAAGCTCGATAAAGAAGTCTTAGAGCAGCAAGTTAAATGCCATTTGTCACTATCTGAGTAGTTTAATAACTGCCTGCACTGGTCCACAGAAGCATTCTACAAGATGGATTAGAGCTGGATTTTTCTTAATCCTCCTTCCCTGGTTCTTTGTAAGTGACCCATCTTAATGTCACATTGAGTTGTTTTTTACACTGAAACCGTTGGGAATGTGATCAGCAGTGGAAATGATGGGAGGGTTAGTGGGAGACAAGGGGAGATGGGGTGCCATTTAACTCTGTGGTGAAATAAGTTAATTATTTCAGCTCTCCACTATCTGTTGGTTGCCTTGTGGTCTTGACTAGAACTGTTAGTTTATGGTTTGAAAGTCACAGGGTTTTCCAGGTTAAAGCAAAGTCATAAAAAGAGAGTGCACATTACAAAAGAGTAAAATTTGCTACTGATTCTCTGAATATGGAGATTGTGGTGAACAGATAATGATTCTTAGAAATACTCGGTTGTCAGCTGATCCTTAGCTACAAAATGCCAAATTCCATCTAGAAGAATATAACAAATACAGTCACTGTTAGCAGGAAACAAACAAGACTTCATGGTTTCATGGCCCCTCGTCTGGTGGCCTCTCTGGACTTGTCACTGATTTCTGTGAAGTAATTGCCCGGGAGTCTTCTGTGACTCGATGACCAGTGAGAAAAATGTCAAAAACATTACTGAGTGCCTTGCCAGTTCTTCCATTGCTTGCTTTGTTGGTGGGTCCCCATCTCTGACTACACTCCTAGCAACATCAAGGAAATGAAGTACTTAACTCACTGCCCTAAATGCCCAAGCCTCAGGAGGTGAGAAAACCTGTCACCTCAGGCTGAGGCGACATCTGTAAACAAGTGTGCAGGGCTGGACTTTCTGACACCCCTCTCCTTGGTCTTCTTTTAAAGAATCACCTGAATGCATTCTCTTGGGTAAGGAAATACCCAAGATGGTACCCAGATGAAGGGGCCCAGTCTTGGCAGAGTGATGGATATATCCAGGAGAGTTCTTCCTGGGGCAAGAAGACACTCTCACATATGCTTATCCTGAGACGCTACTGGATCTGGTTCTGCAGCCTGTTTCACGGCTCTCCAGCCTCCTAAACATCTCCTGGCTCTGTCTATGGGCTTGTCCACAGCTGGGACTTTATCTTCTCCTGTCTTCAGCTGTCCTGTTGCCACGCCATCCTCTCTTCCTTCTCATATTCCCGTCTCTGTTCTCAGCAGCCAGCACCTCCATTCTGGCTCTTTCCACCCTGAATCTCAGAATCCTTTTTCTGCAACAAATCCGTTACCCGAGACTTTGCCTCATGGTGCCATCGTGAGAACAGCTTTGTGTGTGTGTGTGTGTGTGTGTGTGTGTGTGTGTGTGTTTCCTGTCCCCTCCGAGATCCACTGCTCTGGTAGTGATTGTGCCAGTCTCAACATGTTTGTGCTTTTGCTTCCATACTCCCAACTCCAAGTCTTAATTGTATCAACCAACCAGAAAATTTTAGCATGGAGCCACACTACAGAGCGAGAAAGAATGCCACTTACGGCTGTGACTTCACATGCTGGCAGACAGAACAATGTAAAAGTCCAGTTGGCTCAAGCCAGTAGCTCAGCTTTTATTTTCTGTTTCCACCAACCAGCAGTAAGCATTCAGAGACTCTTGAGATGAATTTTGGATTTTCATCCTTTCTCAGGGATGTCTCTGAA